GTGCTCTGCTGGTGAAGCATCCTGCACCTGAAATGAAACTTCAGGAGTAAGGGAGAAGCATTTCCATCCTTTCCATTGCATCCACACACATATGGACCCTTCTCTATCTACCTCCACCCTTCCTGCCCTGCCCACCCCACACACGACTACCTGAGAAATAAGTAAAATAAAAAAACTGAAGATTGGAAAAGTTGTGATATAAAAGGTCTGGTATTTATGCCTCCTGTTGGTAGCTATACTGAGGAAAAATATTGAAACAAACATAAAATCTATGTATGATTATTTATTATTTAAAAGTACTTCTGTACTATTTATAATAGCAAAATACTATAAATGATTTAAAAGATCATCATTTCAAGAACCAACCCCATGGCCACCAACTTGTTTCTGACTCTGGGTGGCTCTACATAGGGTTTCTGAGTTTTTGCATTTTGGGGAGAACAGAAAGCCTCATCTTTCTCTCATGGATCGTCTGGTGGGTTTGAACTTCTAACCTTGTGGAGGAACTCTGATGGCACTGTAGGAGAAGCAGCCCAATGCGTATCCTAGAGTGTCATCAGAACTCCTCAAATGACCATCTTTAGGAACTGGAAAATCATGATTCCTTTAAAGTGATGTTTTTCAGATTTTTTTTTCCTTAACAACATGGAGAAATTCAAGAATCAGAATGATAGCATGGAGTCCTGGTGTGACGATGAAGGATAAGGAGGGCCAGCGGTTCAAACCCACCAGCCACTCCTTGGAAACCCTGCAGTCATAACCGACTCCACGGCACTGAAGGACGACAACAACAAACAGCAATGATAGTATGGAAATTGTGTACACGTTTATCTCCTGTCGGACTTTTTTATTTTCAGTTGTTGTCAGGTGCTGTTGAGTCTATTTCTGACCCGATGTCAGAGTAGAAGTCCCCTTATGGGTTTCTAGATTGTAATCTTTGTAGGAGCAGATTACCAGCCTTTCTCCAGATAGCAGCTAGACAAATTTCAAACTGCCAACCTTTTGGTTAGTAGTCGAGTGCTTAACCATTACCCCATCAGGACTCCACTTGGGACCGCTTTTTGTTTGTTTTCCCCTTAGATGGAGATTGAAGCCACATCTGGGTTCAGTAGGGGAGGAATTCTGTGAGCAAGTTGATGTGTGCTGTGGGTGTCTGGGGTAGAATGTTATGATATTTGCTCTCCACTCGATGATACAATTTTCAAATGTGTAAAGAAGAGAATTCAGATCAACAGATTGAGGGGAGATGAACCAAAATGGAAATAGAAATGACCTCAGGGAGTCAGGATTACCCCAGGATTTTTTTCTGCTTCCTGTAAGTGTTCTATTGAGAACCTAGAGCCAGGCTTCCAAGCATTGAGTTCGAGCTCTGCATTCTAATGCTGTTGTTGTTAATTGCTGTGGAGTCCATTCTGACTCACAGTGATCCTGTCTAGGGTTTCCCAAGAGTGGCTGATGAGCTTGAACTGGCGACCTTGCTATTCAAACCAGTCTTGCAGTCCAGCACATAACCCACAGTGCCACACCAGGACGCCCTGCCATTTACTAGCATATGTTATTTAACCTTTCTGTACTTCAGTTTCTTCTTCTAAAGAAATGGTGATAATGATTGCACCTGTCTTATAAAGTCAAGACTCAGGTTGTTGGTGGTAAGTACCATGGAGTCAGTTCCGACTCATAGAGACCCTGTATAGGGTTTCTGAGGCTGTAACTCTTTACGGGAGCAGAAAGCCTCATCTTTCTCCTGCGGAACAGCTGGTAGTTTTGAACTGCCGACCTTGAGGTTAGCAGCCTGATTTGTAACCACTATGCTACCAGAGCTCCTTCAAGACTCAAGACTCAGGTAGCTGGACCAAAATTAAATGCATCAAAATTTGTAATGTGCTTAGGACGGTGCCTGGAACACAAGAAGCCCCTTACAAGTTTAACGATTCTTTATCAGTATTAGTGTTAGTAGGACAGTGAGCCAATATTATTCTTATAATGAGATAAAAAGAAAGCCCAGAAAAGATTATAATTATGAAGGCAATGCAGCAATATGAAAAGAGTGTTTTATGAGTTGTTAAGTGACAAAAGCCTTAGGCTATGGTTATAATTTTATTTTGAATGCAGTTATATAAAACTATGCATGTGGGAAAATAGTTGAAATGAGTGTCCAAAATGTGAAACTTTTAAGAGACTGAAATTATGTGTCTGAAAAATTATTTCCTCTTATGTTATTATTGGGTTATTTAAAAATATGAGTGTGTTTTTTTTAAAACAAAATCCCCCTCCTTCCTTCTTACATACCAATATCTTTATCTGTTGTCCTTGTTCTGGGAAAAACACATCCTTTGTTGGGCCTCCTTCTCATAAATTATGGGTTTTATAAAAAACATTGTTATAGAGGATTGACCCAAGAAAGGGCACCTCATCCAAACTGAGTCAACTGGAGTCCTTCGCTAGGCATAAAGAGAATATGAATCAGTATCTCTGTCTGGTGGCTAGAGACATGGTTACTGAGAGTATTGGGAACCATGTTACCTACCAACTGGAATGAGTCTTGGTATTTTTTAATAGCCTCATATGCATGTAAAGGAGTCCTGGTGTGGCACTGTGGGCTAATGAGTCAGATTGTAAAGTCGTTTGAATTGCAAACTTGGTGGTTCAAGCTCATCAGCTGCTCCTCGGAAACCCTATGCAGGGTCGCTATGGGTGGGAATCTATTCGACAGCACTTAACAACAACAACAAGGAGTCCTGGTATGGCGCTGTGGGTTAATGTGCTGGACTACAAAGTTGAGTTTCAACAAGGCCAGCAGTTCAAGTTCACCAGACACTCTGAGTCGAAAACAACTTGGCGGCGCTTTACAACAAACAACAACAAAGGAGATTGTAAGAATCTAGCCAGGGTTGTCTAAAGGCTGACCCTCAGTCTCTGATTAATTCCCTTTTGTGGTATTCTTGTGTCTTAATGCTTCCTACTTTGTCTTACTTTTCTTGGTGATTTTAATGTCTCTAGATTGATGGTTGTCAAACTTCTATTTGCATCAGAATTAACTGAAGGACCTGTTAAAATAGATTCCTTGGCCTCACTCCTTGAGTGTGTGGTTCAATAAATCTGAGGTTGTTGTTGATGTTGTTGTAAAGTGCCGTCGAGTCGATTCTGACACATAGTGACCCTGTATAGGGTTTCTGAGGAGCAGCTGGTGAGCTTGAACCAAGACCTTGCAGTTCAAATGGCTTTGCAGTCTGATGCATTAGCTCACAGTGCCACACCAGGACTCCCAAGCCTGAGGTGGAACCCAGGAATTTGCATTTCTAGCAAGCTCATAGATGATGCTGGTCTGGGGCCCAGACTTTCTTTGAGAAGTGCAGCTTTACACGTGTGCTGACTGTGCACTTCCCCAGGCACTCTCTGGCTTCTGTCCAGTTGCCAATATGCAAGTGTTTGTGTGGCTTTCTGATTGTTGTCTTTCTAATCTCTCAAGAATCTTCTCTGTTTCACTGTATTTGTAGATTCATGAATTGCT